AAAACTGACAGCTGACCAAAACCACCAATTCCCCAATTAAACCCTTTATAAAACATTGCTCCTAAACAAATTTTCAAGGTAGTAGACCAGGAAGGCACCTGGTCCTCAATAATAAATTTGTTTTTGGGTCCTCAATTGTGAAAAGTTTTTTCCACTGGAAAAATTGCTCATGGAATCTTCCTTTACTTAGGAAGCCATGGAAGCTGAGGAAGAAGCTGAAAGCTTGGGGCTTCTGTTGAGCTGAAGATCTGAGGCTGCAAAGCAAAAGGATAATGAATACTACAATCAATTACAAAAGATCCCTCACCAGGAATCCAGATTTGTTTTGGTGATAGTTTATTATAAAGGGACCCCTATTTGTTTGAGGGGGGGGGGGGACCCCCCTTTACTAATCAGGATCCAACATTACTTCTTTCAGTATCTAGAAAGGTGGAACAACAAACCACTTGTCCTCGGCTTCCGGCACAGCATATTAACTTGATCCAAACTCGGTCTACAGGGCACACCTGCCACGTGGGGTTGCACAGTAGAGACATGCCGTCAGATCTGTTTGATTCTGGTGGCATATCTGCCCAATGAAAGCGTGGCTTGGCATAGCTTGGATGCTTGGCAATGAATAAATCGACCAACAACAGCATGGCCTTGAAGCCCAGTTCCTTTCACTTCTGCCTCATAGCATGCAAAACTACTCCGTCCCTCTTGTTGCACGGAGCGAAAAGACATTGACTGTGCAAAGCCTCGCATTGTGCTCCGATCTTCTCCATCTTGCTGAAACTCACCGGGAATTGCGTTGAATTGTTCAGCACCGCCATGGTCAACCAATTAAATCGCCGATAGCAGGACCATACCTCACAAACACCGCGTGCCATAGATTTATAGTTATTTTGCAAACCCTGTGCAAATAATTCTACTAGACACGGACTCCGTCCCATCATGGAGAACATTACAACATATTTATGAAAAGAAACAATTCAATGCTTCACTACGGGGCAGAATTTAGTTTTGTAAGACCTACTTACTATATAGGATCAAATGGTTTGTGGCAGTGAGGCAACACTTCCGCTGCTGATTTCTTGCATGTGATGTCCGAGATGAGGCTGCCACATAGGTTCGGAAAAAGGCGTACACAAGCACAATGACGGTCGTCCAGCAATTGCACAAGTGGAAACACCAAGCGGCCTGACAAATGAAAAAACATCAAGTTCGAAATTACATGCATACAATTGAACAGTGATCAATTCAATGTGACATGGTGTCACACCTGCGCCCCTAAGGGGCCGTGCGATTGTGAGATTTTTAAATGTGTGTATTGCTTGAGAGTGTTTGCTTACCCACGTTTGTGACGTTTTTGGACCGAGAGTGTTGTTTGGGAGGAGGTGAAAGTGCTGAAAGGGTTGCTCGAAATGTCCGTTTGTAGATAATTCGCTACAGCGCTACAGTTTCAAACACATTCGGATACACTGTTTGTCCGGTGTAAACGTTTCGAAGGACTCGTTTGACGCTTCGAAGTGCGCGTGCACGAACAACCAGAAACCGAAAACTCCTGACATTTAATTTATATAAGGACCTAGAAGCACCAGAATTACTACACCTCTCTGGCCAAGGGTACTTTTGCAACCTCCCCATCCATGGCGTAGCATTGCAAGAACAAGTGACGTCAATAGAATCCAATCCCACCCCGCCCCCACCATGGCGTAGCATCAAGTATGTTTGTAAGTACAAGTGACGTCAATAGTGCAAGTGACAACAAAGCCACGAAAGCAAAAACATGCATAAACGCATGGCCCCTGAAAAGCGCGATTACCAAAACAAGCAGCACGTTAGTAGGTGAACCAAAGTGGAGTTTTTGAGTTTCGTTGCCAAGGCTAGCGGCTAATGCAAAAGGCCATGATTGATAACTTTGTGCCAAAAAGCTGATGTTGGACTATATACTGTAAATGTTTGAGCAAACATGCTAGCTATCAGGACAAAATGACAAAACAATTTGGAAGTTGTTGCCATGAAACCATGTGTTGAGGTGCATGATGGTGCATGTATGTCCTGCGCGGTTTGTCGTTGGCAATTTGTTGCCGAAGGTCTGTTAGTTGGAAATTGCAGCGAATGTTTGGACACTCAGTTCGGACGATGTACAGGCGACGTCGATGGTATGTGGTGGGCGGCTGCAGTGATTTTTGCATTTTTCTGAGTTCTTTGTGTTTCTCTGGTGTTCGGGTTCCTTGTCGATGATGTTCTTCTATGCCTTTCTCTGTGTATTCCTCTCTCTGCCTCTCTCTCGCACTCTTCTTCTTTCTTTCTTTCTTCCTTCGTGTGATTGAGCTTTATTTGAGTCCTCTCAAACTATTGTCTGGCCCTTCATCTCTATACTTACAGTATCTCTGCTCTTCCTAGCTTTCCGATCTGCAAACCAGTCTTTCGGCCGCTTCTCCTGTGGATATACCTGTATGTACTCATTTGCTATCTTCTTCCTTGTTATATATATAATAAATAGATATATATTTTATGTCGCTGTTTTTTTTTTAATGTTCAGGACTTTGTGCCCAAATAAGCATGGTGCAATTCGACAAACTATACAAAGAGCAAGAAATCTGGTCCACGATGCGGCATGCATGAAAAAAAGCCTCACCTTCAGGCGCAAAGAACGGATCTCTGCCAAGTCTTCCTCCAAAGGCTCATCAATGGCATGCCCTGGCGGGTTTGAACCAATTCCAATTAAGTATTGGGACTTACTAAGAGTTGAGAAAGTCAAGCTATCGGTTTTGCAGGTTTTCATTTTGCATATCTTTGGGCCAAGATCTTGTGGGACCTGCTGCTGCTCGAGAAAGAGGATTCAACTGCATCTAGCTTCCCACAACCTACCAAAGAAAAAATTAGTGAGAAGTAGGGTATTGGTGGGGTATTGGTACCCAAAGATATCAGTTGAATTAGGGTGCACATGGTACACAGTACAGCTTCTCTGGAGGGTGACCTTTGAGTCTAAACTTTCTTAAACAGCAGAAGCTAATTCCAAAGGAACCTCCCACATCTGCGAACATGTAGACGTGTACCACGGAGTTGTCCCCTAGCCGATCGGCTATGCTCCTGGTTTTGCTTACCCGTGCGACCGCAAAGCTAAGTTGTCTTCCACAGATTTCTTCCATAAATACCTACTGCAATTTCATGTAATTTATGTCTGCTTAAAGGCTTTATGGGGGACACTGCGCACCGAGCAACACTTCGTTCCGTGTCGACACACTAGTCGGAATTCTTCGAAGGAAAAATCTACATTTTAGGCCACATATAAATGGACGTATTGTAGACATTTGATGAAATTTGCACTACTTTGTCTCCCGCAGGCCCCAAACCACGCCCACCTCTTGCATCGAGCAAGTAGTAGGTATGCTTGTAGGTAGCGACATTGAACTCTTCCACCCTGGCAACTTGTAACTGCAAGAAACCCACTATATATATAGCTTCTTTTATAACTGGGCCGAATGGACTGGTTGGTTCTGGTAGCAGAGCGGATGGTGTCTACACTCTTGATGTTGTCCAAGTCCCGCACCTGCTTGGGCTTGAGAGATCAGGTGTGTGCAGCACTGCGCACTAACAAACCTTTTGAGGTCCGCAACTTCCAACTGACTCTGACAGTTTCCATTGCAGCCAATGGCAAGGGTGTTTTGTAATTTCTCAGCCTCCATAGGTTCACCAAATTCCACCAGAATCCATGGAGGAGTTTCACGATCCAGCTCCATGCTGCTGGTCTTCATTTGAAAGCGCTTGATTCTTCCAGACCTGACTGAATCGGCGTTAGCTACCAAATTACATTTGAAAGCACACACACACAGACACACATCTCGCAAAGCGTTGTGAGGCTGCCAGCGAGCCATTCTTCCCTCCAAACAGCGCGCCCAGCCAATGACACATGCAAGGCACTTTTGGGCACTGTCTTTTGCATGTATAATATATGCTATCCACAATCTACCATTTTGCCTGCTGCACCCATGTCTAACTCAATATGATATATAGATAGGTAGATAAATAGATATATAGGGAGATAGATAGATAGATAGATAAATAGATAGATAGATGGACAATAGATAGATAGATAAATGGACAAATGGACAAATACACGGATAGACTCCAGAGAGGGCAATTGCTGAGAGGCTGTCAAATTTCAGGAGGATTGAAGGATGGGAAATTGTTGAACGTTGCAAAATTTGAAGCGTTGTGACTTCCCGCGCGACGGAATGCCTACGTGGACATCAAACAGTACCATCATGGACGTGCCTCCGCGCGTCAACGGTCGACATCCGTCAGAGACAAAGGCTTACAGGCTGATAGCATCATCCTGTTGTATCATGCCACAGACCGGTTGAGGTAGAGGTTGCAGCATCCATTGCGTGCAGCCAGCTTGCGCAATGGCGGTGTCCGCGAGGTTGCCATGAGGAGTGCAATGTTACTTGGAATCCGGAAGGATCCACCTATACTTGCAAATTGCTGGAGGAGACTGGAGATGATGACGCACAACATGAGACTTGGTTGCAGTTTCTCAAGTTTGGAGACTCAAAAACACAGTTTGCAGAATCACTATTCGCACAATAGCTTATTGAAGTTTAAAGAGACTTAGACACGATGCACATGTGCAGGGGCTGCCGGCGCATCCCAGGAACCCCTTTTTCCAAAGCAGTCTGCAAGCTGTTCTACATTTCGGCTGGCCTCTCTGGAGCTAAGCACGCTTCAGCATCCTCGAGAGTTTCAAGTCTTCACACTTTAGTTGAGTATTCTCTGCGTTTTGTTTAAGATTCTCAGCCAGCAATGTTTCATTCTCCTCTTCAATTTCTTTGTGACAGCCAAGTGCATTCTCCAGCTCAGAAATGGCCGCTTTCAGCCCAGCAACTTGAGCCAGGGGCGCTTCATCTGCAGGTCCATTCGTCAAGGCCAGAAGCGGCTCGCTGCCCTTGTTTGGCCCTTGTAGGAGCTCGGCCAGAAGCGCATCAGCCTCCCTGCTCCATTGCCCCGTGCCGGGAGTCAAGCACAGCTTTTTCTGGACAGAGTTCATGGCAGAGTAAAGGGCACCCCGACCAAAAGGTTGACTAGGCCCTGGACACCAACTCTTCTGGCTTGAAAGGACAGGCTCAGCCGCTTCAGTCTGATGAGCGCTTCACAGGTCTTCACGTCCACGTAGCCGTGGGACATGACGACCAAAAAGCACACGGACGACCAAGGAACTATATATTAAAAACAGCTGCATTGCAACGCGTTGCAGCGGTTCTCTTCGTTGAGATTCTCTAAGTACAGCCCCAATCTTGGGGTCCTGACCTGGGATTCAAGAATTCTTGGTTCAATCTTGAATCTTGAATCCCATTGCAATGTGCTCCAATGGGGTTCTGTCATTGCAATGCGTTGCAATGGGGTTCTGTCAGTGCGGCATGTACATGAAATATATATATATATACAAGTATGTGGTACCGTGGTACCCCCCTTCAATGAAGTATCGCCAACACATCAAAATTGTAGATCTTTGGGGGGCACAGGGCACAGTCTTATTTAATTTGCTGCTTTCAAGGATGTATGTATATAATATATATATATATAGATACACATTCGCAGCATGTATATATACAGTACAGTATATAGAATATGTACACACCTTTTTCTATACTGCTCAAGGAACTTTCCTAATGCTGACAAAGCGAGCGCAAGGTTTGTGTGTATGTGTGTTGTGGGATGCTATTATGTGTGATCGTGTGTGCTTGGCCGTTGCCCTGCTTCCTATCGACCATTGTCTGCGCGCGGGCACAGAAAACGAAGCACTTGTATGGTGTTATCATGAGGTTTTTTGTTACTATGGTCTCCTTCACCACGGCTCCCAATCAAATTTGGAGGATAATTCAAACGGACCAAGCTGTCTTCTTGCATTCGGCGTTCGCGCCACTATCACAGCAGGAACATGGCAGAGTCTGGCAAAGCAGCTGGTGAACGCATGGGGGGGCATGACACATGGCATCAATGTTTTTTTGGATGGACAAACTTTACCATTTCCAACTATTAAGAAAACAAGGTCTATGGTTGTGTTTTCTATGCCTTGTTGGTTTAAATGGAAATTTCCACATCCAAGGGCCGGATGGTTCTGTACTAACTCCTGTTTGGAGAGTATCACCTGGTCGTACTTCATCCAACTCCCGTGTGGAATGAAACTAGGGCTTGCATGAGATGACCATTTGTGGTTTCTGCAGTTGTTGGATTGCAAATGTTGGAGGATCAAACATGTCAAACATTGAGCAGGACGAGCTCCAGATGCTTAAGTCTGGGTGCGTTAAGCCTCCAAGTTTCAGGGTGATCGAGGCTCCAATGCCTGCCTCACCTCCTCACCTTGTCTCTCACGTTTGCTAGCGACGCGGCGTCAACAGAACTGTAAGGAAAAGCTGCCTCCTGAGGTGTCATCGGTTGGGGGTGACACTGACAACGTTCAATTTGGACCTCGACCATCATTTTGATCAACTGTGACTTGTCATCGTCCTGTTCAAGCACCATTCATCATTTCCTGGTTGACCGTCAAACTAGCTTTTTTCCCCAAACAGTGTGGGCACACTGAGGGGTTCTTACGGTAGGGGAAAAGAAGGTGTTCTTAGATCGCTGAGGCGCACGGGCGTGAACGGCTAATTCATTGCTATTTACAGTGCATTCATGCCTCTCGACATCGTCCATGTGCACTTCGACTGCGCAGGCTCGCAGAATCTGGGGGCCGGCGGCAGGTGCTTCTAGCATCTTCTAGCGACTGCGCTCTCGTTGTGGTGCCGTGCACATTTTCGCACATGTTGGTCACTTTTCGTGGCAGGCGCAATGGAAACCTCGTGTTTTGGTGCTCCAAAGTCGACTTTTCGTGACAGGTGCAAGGGATCGGAGGTGTTTTGCTTAGACGTGCAGTTTTCGTGGCAGGTGCAGCACTTTGGACATGGTGGTGATCGTCGAGGAGCTCAGATTTCGTGACAGGTGCAGTGAATCGTGACTTTTGGACATGTGGCTCGTTTGCAGATTTCGTGGCAGGCACAGCACTCTGTGACTGACCCTCATTGTGCAGATTTCGTGGCAGGTGCAGCGCTTTGTGAACCTCGAAGTGCAGATTTCGTGACAGGTACAGCACTTTGTCAACCTCGAAGTGCAGATTTCGTGGCAGGCGCGGCGCTTTGTGAACCTCGAAGTGCAGATTTCGTGGCAGGTGCAGCGCTTGGTGGACCTCGAAGTGCAGATTTCGTGACAGGACGTGCAGATTTCGTGGCAGGTACAGCACTTTGTGAACCTCGAAGTGCAAATTTCGTGGCAGGTGCAGCACTTGGCGAACCTCGAAGTGCAGATTTCGTGGCAGGCAGAGCACTTTGTGAACCTCGAAGTGCAGATTTCTTTGCAGGCACAGCGCATGGTGAACCTCGAAGCGCAGATTTCGTGGCAGGCACAGCGCTTGGTGAACTTCGAAGTGCAGATTTCGTGGCAGGCGCAGTACTTTGTGCTCTCAGATGCTCACTCTCTCACTCTCCCACTTTCACTCACACTCACACTCCCTCACACTCCCACTCTCACTCTCACTCACACTCGCACTCACACGCACACTCACTCACCCACACTCACTCTCACACTCACTCTGCTCACTCACTCTCACCCACACTCACTCGCGCTCACCTTCACTCTCACTCTCACTCTCACGCTCACCCTCACCCTCACCCTCACTCTCACACTCACTCACTCTCACACTCACTCACTCTCACACTCACTCACCCACCTTCAGTCTCACTCATACTCACAGTCACTCTCACTCTCCCTCACACTCACTCTCACCCACACTCACTCTCACTCACGCTCGCACTCACTCACTCACTCTCCCACTCTCACTCGCACGAGTATATACTTTTTTTGTCGGTGACCGGTGACCGGGCCGGAGACCGGACCGGAGACCGGACCGTGACCGGGCCGGTGACCGGACCGGTGACCGGGCCGGGACCGGCGGGCACCGGACCAGTGACCAGGCCGAAGACCGGCGACCGAGAAGGAAGTGGTCACTCCAACTTCACTCACCCCTTTGTGGGCCATGCAGGGGTAAAACTTAGAGAAGGATGTTGCCCAAGTTGACTCACCCTTTGGTGGGCCATGCAGGGGTAAAATTTGGAAAAGGAGGTTGCCATTTCAACTTGACTTACCCCTTTGTCACCCTTTTGTGGGCAATGCAGGGGTAAAATTTAAAGAAGGATGTTGCCATTTCAACTTGACTCACCCTTCTGTGGGCGGGGGTAAAATTTAAAGAAGGAAGTGGCCCTCAACTTGACCCACCCAACGCAGGGGTAGAATTTAGAGAAGGATGTTGCTTTTTCAACTTGACTCACCCCTTTGTGTGGGCAATGCAGGGGTAAATTTACAGAAGGAAGTGGTCATTCCAACTTGACGCACCCTTTTGTGGGCCATGCAGAGGTAGAATATAGAGAAAGATGTAGCCAATTCAACTTGACTCACCCCTGTGTGGGAAATGCAGGGGAAAAATTTAGAGAAGGAAGTTACCCTTCCAAGTTGACGCGCCCTTTGGTGAGCCACCCGAGGATAAAATTTAGAGAAGGATGTTGCCACTTCAACTTGACTCACCCTTTATGTGGGCAAAGCAGGGGTAAAATTTAGACAAGGAAGTGGCCCTTCCAACTTGACTCACCCTTTTGTGGGCCATGCAGGGGTAAAATTTAGAGAAAGATGTTGCCCAAGTTAAGTCACCCTTTGGTGGGCCATGTAGGGGTAAAATTTAGAGAAGGAGGTTGCCATTTCAACTTGACTTACCCCTTTGTGTGGGCAGTGCAGGGGTAAAATTTAGAGAAAGGAGTGGTCATTCCAACTTCACTCACCCTTTTGTGGGCAATGCAAGGGTAAAAAAATTTAAGAAAGATGTTGCATGGATAAAAAACAATTGTTGACTGGTTGCAGGTCTGGTGGCCGGCGTTGGGGGGGCGGTGACCGGGCCGGAGACCGGGCCGGAGACCGGACCGGTGACCGGGTCGATGACCGGTGACCGGGCCGGTGACAGGGTTGGAGACCGGGCCGGTGACCGGTGATTGGGCCGGTGAGTGGGCCGGAGACCGGGCCGCAGACCGGACCGGAGATCGGACCGTGACCGGGCCGGGCCGGTGACCGGAGACAGGGCCGGAGACCGGGCCGGAGACCGGACCGGTGACCGGGCCGGTGACCGGTGACCGGGCCGGTGACCGGAAAACAAAAAAAGTATATTATGACTCGCACACACATTCTCACTCTCACCCACACTCACTAACTCTCACTCACGCTCACTCACACTCACTCTCACTCTCACTCACACTAGCACTCACTCACACTCACTCTCCCACTCTCACTCACACACACTCTCACTCTCACCCACGCTCACTAACACCCACCTTCACTCTCACTCACGCTCACTTACACTCACACTCACTCTCACCCACACTCACTCTCACTCACACTCGCACTGACACTCACTCTCCCACTCTCACTCACACTCACACTCCCTCTCACCCACACTCACTCACACCCACATTCACTTCATCACCGCCATCACCTCTCTGGACCCCAATGCGTCTAGATCTCTAGACTTTCTGCTTACAGACCTCACACACACACACTGTTTGGGGTCTCTTGCCGGGATATTTACTAATTAAGGCATTAAGGAAGCTCACTCTGGGAGCATCGGGTTTGTTGAACAGCCATGAACTAGCCCATGCCTAACAAAAAGCAACCGGGACATCACATTCGGAGTGTACTAATTAGCTGTTCTGCAGCATGCTCCAGCTCTGAGGGCAAAGCGGGTCTGGTTGGCTTGCCCAGTGAACAATGTTCATGGGGTTGATGACAACCTTGTAGAAAACAAAACATGTAACTCCTCCTTCGTGAAGCTTTTGCATGTCTATTTTTCATGCCGCTCTTGTGCCAATAAGCAAACACAATCTCAAAGTTTCATCGGAACCAATCGGTCAAGTGCGTTCCTTTCTGAGGAGCGGACCTTGCAAAGTTCTTCAGAACCAAACACATTCATCAATTTTGCCGTGATGCGCACCTGCTTATGCATTGTGGGGCGAACACATTCTTCAGCTAAAACATACCTCAAATTATGACATGATATGTTCTGGGTGACAAGCATTTCCCTCCAAAAGGCAATTCCGAACTCGGACTGTGATGATCTCAGGGAAGTGTATGACCTGTGCAAAGCCATCCACAAGGGAGCATGCCAAAAACATTGCAAATACCACAAAGCGTCATCAGTTCACGGTACTCTTGTGTCCGTCCGCAAGAAAACCAAGACCAACTTGAGCCCTTGAGATGAACCATGGGTCCACAGCACACAATGAAGTC